TTCTATATTTGAATATGATTGAGTTTCTTCCATAAGTACTCCATGCTAACTTAACTCTCCTGTTAATTTCTGGTAGTGGAGATCCTGAGCTGTGTATTAATTGCAGGGTTGGCATGATTTAAATCATGATTTAAATCGTAATTAAAATCAAGTGATTTATATCAAAAAATTGTTTTTATTGAAACTTTATTATAAATCAAAAGATAACTGTAAAAGTTACAAAAATGTGTCCTAGACAACTATAAAACATATTTCTATAACAGGTATAACAGATAATAAATCGAAAAATAATTGTAAATGTTATAAAACTATACAAAAATATCTATTTGTCAATTTAATTCTTTGACCGATTTTTGAAGTAATTTCGTGTGAATCCATTAGACCGCTAAACGCAGGGATTTATTTTAAAATTTATGTATAAGTGACAAAAATTCGCTGTTCAAATATATATAATTCGCAAAGTGTAGTGCAGAACTAGGTTCCCGATAATCTATAATCTTTGTAAGAAAATATGTTGTTTTATATTTTTTTTTTGAATGTATGTTTCCAAATTCCTACCGACCTTTTGATCTGCAGTAAGTACTTTACACTATGACATTAGATATAATACAAATATACTAATTTCATTCTCTACTTAAGAATATTTCGGAACAACAGTGTATTGTTTTATTAGGAGTAAAAATTACACTTTTTTTGACGATTCTGTACCTTTCAAGGACCATCGTAAAGCTATTCCGTTACAGGGAGGCACAAAAAGTACATTTTTACTCCGAATAGAACATACTATTTTTTATAAACATTACAAATAATTTTGTAATCAATTTCAAACATTACAAATAATATAAACAGTAATCGGGCAACAATTTATACACTCCTTGAATGTTACACTTAATATCGATTTAATAATATATTTTTGTTCTTTTATTCCTAGACGTTAAAATGACAAAAATTAATACTTTTCAGACGTTTGAAAAAAAATCCTTTTGATCTGAAGCGAACGACTTTTTTTGCGGAATATATTGGTGGATAGGACTTGGAAATATTGGAATTGGAAATAAATCCTAGTCATTTGGAAATCCGATTTAAATATTGTTTTGAATTAAAATAAAACAATCTAATTTAAATCAAAAAAATCCGATTTAAATAAAAAAATCTGATTTAATTCAAAAAAATCTGATTTAAATAAAAAAAAAATATTTTTTAAAAAAAATCATGATTTTTTCCAACCCTGATTAATTGTCCCAGTTCTTCGACTATTTCCAGTGTTATGTTATTTATTAGAATGTCTTTTCTGTTTTGCTAACTAGTTCTATATTACTTTTAGTTTTTGCTAAATTCATTTTGAGACCTACTTTATTGCTGGCTGTATTTAGTTTCTTAATTTGGACTTGTAGTTCTTCAAGACTATTGCCAATTAAAATTATGTCATCAGCGAATCTTAGATGGTTAAGATATTCTCCATCTATTTTTAATCTTTTTTTGGCCCAGTCCAGTCCAGTTTTATCAAGTATCAACAGGTATTTAAAAATAAATTATTGAAAATATTTAAAAAATTTAGTGAAAACAGTTTATTTCGTAGCTACTAATTTTAGAGAACCTAGGTCAAAAAAAAAACGAAAAATTCTTTCAAACTGACATTCTTTAAATAAATATTATTCAAATATAAGCTACAACAAACGGTAAGAGTGATAACCACAGAAGCAAAATCCGTCAAAACATATCACTCCTAATTTATATTCCTACTCTATTATTTTTTCGCGGTCTTGGTTTGAAAAATACGCCAAGAAGCTATGTAAAAAATCAAACAATATTACAAACCAAAGCCACGAAAATAGAAAAATAAGTAATTTCGAACACGGTTTCGGCTTAGCCTCAAAAACCGGACCGTCCCATTTATTATCTTCTGTGTTTTCGGCGCACAACAAGAAGAAACAAACTTTTTGATAAAGGTTTTCATCGGGATTCAACGCGAAGGTGATTAATTTATTTCTGGTTAAAAATTTCTCGAAAACACTCTCTGTGACTCAAAAACCATGTAAGTCGCCTACGCTTGATGTGCCGGATGCACGGTTTTTGGATACAAGACAAGGATACTGTACAGGGATGGGTAGAAGTTTTTAGTTTTACTAACGTTTTGTTTTATATATATACTAGCGTGTACCATCGACTTCGTTCGCGTCGAATTAATTATTTGTAATGGTGATAATAAAGCAAAGCAAGAATTTCCATTAACATACAAACTGGATAAAATTTTCTCACATTTATGTCAGCATGAGAAAAAACAATATGGCGATATTATTATATAATTTGGTAATATTTGAGGGGTAGTTTCATCTCGTTGGAATTTGACTTTCGAAAAATCCGTTTGCCAAAAATAAGCTTTTTACGTCAAGCAGTTTAAGCAGAATCGTGGTTAAAAAATTACCCAACTTTTTGGAACACCCTGTATGATTTTTTAAAAAAATTCAAAATATGTAAAAAACAAAATAAATTATGCGTGTCCAAGCGTTTTCCCGAAAGACTAGCCGTTTTTAAATAACAAATATTGTAATATTTGAGGGGCGTTTTCACCCTCTTGGAATTTGAGATTCGAGAAACCCCTCCTTATCGAACCTCTACACCCCACAGTCAATCCGTTTGCCAAAAATCAGCTTTAAACGTCAAGCAGTTTAAGCAGAATCGTGATTACTCAATGGTCATATTTATGAAACACCCTGTATAAATTTTTAAAAAATCTTAAAATATGTAAAAAAACAAAATAAAATTTTTTAAGAGTTTTTCCGAAAAACTCACCGGTTTTTAAATAAGAAATATTTTAATATTTGAGGGATTGTTTCACCCCCTTAGAATTCGAGTTTCGAAAAATCCCTTCTTATCGAACCTCTACACCCTAAAGTCAATCTGTTTTCCAAAAATCAACTTTTTACGGCAAGCGGTTTAAGCAGGATCGTGATTAATCAATGACCAGATTTTTCGAAACACCCTGTATATATTTTTAAAAAATCTTAAATTATGTAAAAAAACAAAATAAAACATACGTGTTTAAGCGTTTTTTTTTCGGAAACTTGATCATTTTTTAATTAAAAAATATTGTAATATTTGAGGGGTGGTTTCATCCTCTTGGAAATGGAATTTCGAAAAATACCTTCTTATCGAACCTCTACACCCTAGAATCAACCTGTATGCCAAAATTGAGCTTCTTACGTTGAGTGGTTTGAGCAGGATCGTGATTAATCAGTGAGTCAGTCACTTAAAGATTTTATATATTAGTATAGATATTAATCGGCTTAAAACGTTCTACGTCTTCCGATGCCATCTCACCATGCCTGTCTGTCTCTCCATGCACCGTCTCCGAGAGCTCTCTCCTCCATAAAACTGTCAATCCCTTCATGCCAACTTCTTCTCGATCTACCCGGTTTTCTTCTTCCTGCAGGTTTCCAATTTATAATTTGCTTTGGGATTCTTATTTTTGCCATTCTTTGGACATGCCCGTACCATATGAGTTGACTGTTCTTTATCTCGTCCACTATTGTATGTTTAACTTCCATAATCTCTCTTATGCGTTCATTAGTTATTCGTTCGAATCTTGATTTGCCTGCTGATCTCCAAAAATCCATCTCTGTAGCTTCCGGCATTCTTTTTGTTGTTTCCTTAATTAGCCACACTTCATAACTGTACGTGGTTATACTCTTTATGATGGTATTGTATATTAGAGTTTTGTTCTTGTTGTTTATGCTTCTGTCCCACAATATCCCATTCAATACCGTGATAGCATTTCTTCCAAGTTGGTTTCGTTTTGTAATTGCTGTATCCATGTAACAGTCCATCATTTGTGATTTGCATACCCAGATATTTCTTTCTACTTATTTCTTGTACATTACTTTAGTTTTTCTATGTCACATATTACATTATGAATAAAATTGAGAGAAATATGTTAAAATGATAAAATAACTGTAAAAAATATCTACAAACGTATGATGAATTTTATTATAACAAATTTACACTGAGTTGTGTAAAACAAGACGTTATTGTACTTTTACCCATCCCTGGTTAAAAATTCGGTCAAATCTAACATTCATCTCTTCTGCATCAGATTTTATTTTCGGATTCATTCATTTATCTCACCGGGCGAAATGACAGTACCGAAATGGTCGTAGAGGGCCTTGAATTTAATTCGAGGTTACTTAGATGCAGTAATGACAGAATTTGTTTTGGGGATTAGCATAGCAATTTTGATTTTAGCGGAAATCAACTGGTGATGATAAATTTTCACTAATATATGTTCGAATTATTTAGATATTTATTTATGTCATTTTATAATCCGGTAGTTAACGATATTTCCTGATGATTTTTAATATAATGTTTAATGAATACAAAAATGTGTTGCGAAGGTTTTTAAGGTTAGTTTTAAAGGTTAATATAAATCTTCATAATAATTAATTTTTAATAATTTAATTTTTCAATTAAAGGAATTTTTACATAGAATTCATTCTTATTCGTGCTCAATGTGTGTGTTTTTCATTGCGATATTTAAAAAGGAACATATTTTTGAGCCAAATTAACGACATTCATACTTGTCAAAGTTTTATTTAATACTAATTAATTCATTTCTGAACCTATTATTTTTATATTAAAAGCCTCCACAGTTTGCGTTGTTGGTAATCTAGTTTGTTCAATGGACAAATCTAATTCGTCAAAAATGACAAACGCTAGTCACACTTAAACTTCTCTTAATATTTACCATGAAAAAAAAGACAACTTTTTTTACCCATGCCCCCATCCCCTGGTTGGAATATTTTACAGATACCTTAAAAATATTAAAGAATATATCAAACAAAGCAAAACTAACCTCTTTCTTAAGAGTTTCTAATTGTTCAAAGTCTCTCAAAATAACGCAATCATCTCAACATATCTTTAATTTAAATTATATAGACACTATAAAAAAAAGATAGTAAAAATGTAACTTCACCCAAATCTGTATCTCTCTGTCCTTTTTCCAGATTTCCACCTGGCCTCGCTCCAAGACGAAGGCTACGCATTCCACCAGGCGATGGGGATGGGCGGCATGGGTCCCATGCAGCGCGGCCTGTACGCCTGCGGCACCCCCTACAGCTAGCCCTGGGCCGCCTACAACGGAGACTGCGGCCCCTCGTAAGGGGGCACGCTGGGGGGCGCTCGGATCCCGGATAGTCTCCGCCGCCACAGGTTTCGCGGTCTCGTCGTTCGTGATGTTTTTATGCGTTTTGGAGTACAGTCGGTTTTTTGGTATTTTAAAGTGAAACCAAGTCTAATTGCACTGAAAATCTATTAGATATACTTAATTTTTGATAAATATATTACACACAACAAAGTTTACAAATTGTGTCAAAAAATATGTTTTTTATACAAGACGATAAAACGGTATTTTATCGTCATGTTTTAAAAAATATTCAAAAATTATCAACCCAACCTCGCTGTTAAAGTATCATTTATTCTACCCTTGCGGTTAAAGTACTATTTTATCTACTATTTTTGATAGATATAAGGCAATTTTAACAGTTGCTATGGGAAAAATATAGTTAGTAGTGCTACAATTTGTAATACCACAATACGAGTACAATCTGAATATTCTCTGACACAAACTGTGAGAATTACCACCACATTTGTTCACCATTTTCGTACAAAATCAAGCATATTTAACTAATTTGGAAATCTACAAAGTGATAGAAATAAAATACAATACAATAAGATAATAATATAATTTTAGACATAAAATGCGTCAGTTTTTTCTACAATTGAGGGGCTTATTACAATTAATTTCTTCTTCTTAATTGTTCTTCTTCTTGTTGTAAATCATGTTTTTGAATGAATAATATTATAATAAATAGGTTTATTGCAAAATTACTAATTTTTTTATCGATATAATTGAAGTCATTGATTTATTAAAATGTCAATGTGTGAATGTTAAGGATGAAATCCATCTTAATTACATTAAGCCGGGTCTCCACCAAAGCAAAATTTATCGGCGACTGTGTCGCCGACTAGTGTTGTCGACAATGTTGCTGAAAATTCAGTGAAGTCGTCGACATTTTATGTCGCAGATTTAAGTCGCCGACTTTGTTTTATGTTTCGCTTGAGGAGCGGTACGTCAAAAGAAAAATCGTGTCGACGACAATGTTTACAAAAATGTCGAAAGACCTCACCACTGAATCAACTCCAGTCAGTAACTTTATCGGGTATATTTTACCATTTGTACTCGTGTAGTTCACAAGGCCAGAAATTTGTTTTTGATTCTATTGCTAAAAATAAATTTGGTATGGACTCGAGCAATGATAAAACAAGAAATCTGATTGAAAAATGTCAAGCCCACCCCGAACTTTGGGACACTAAGCGTACTTGGTATAAGAACAGAAATAGAAAGTATGATGCCTGGAATGATATTGCAACTAGTTTAGAAGTGGAGAGGATGGAAGTTGAGAGAAAAATAAAAAATATCGCCGGACAATTTTCTAATTTCGCGAAATAATAAGGAATGCGGCTGAGATAATATTACATCCTCGTAGTTCCACATGTTGATAAACACTAAATAAACTTTCGCTCTTTAGTCGAAAAATGAAGTCGAGCAACAATCTTTCTTTGGTAGGTACGATCTATATTTCTCGACCATATTTATGAAAATAGTAACAAAAGTTGATGACAATGTCGTCAACATAATATGTTGCTTTGGTGGAGACCCGGCTTTATAAGCACAAATACACAAATACTAAAAAAACACTAAATACTGTAAACTCTAGAGATGAGTAAAATTGCAGATATTCTTTACCGTACTCTGTGTCTTCTAGTAAGTAAAGAATAAAAATAGATAATTTTTATAATTTGAATTTAAAAGTGTGGTTATGAATAATTTTTAATTAAATTCAAAATATGGGTAAAACTAATATAAATATATAATAAAAATTATAAAGAACTTTAAAAATAATTGTCTCTGTCAACAATCATATTTTTTTAAATTTAAACAATCTAAATTAATTTAATTATACGGCGGTCGCAGTTTGCGCATCTCTAATACACTCTGTTTCACCGGAATTGACTACAGCTTTTGATTTTTAAATGACACCCTCGGTATTTTTTTACTTTATTCGATAGAAAATGACATTCACAATAGAATCATATGTAAACTTTTGACATTTTCATATATGGTTTATTTGAAATTGTAACAAGCGGTTTATAACAACAATTTGACTCGAAATACCATGTGTGTGGTACCAAATAGTTCATAAAAAATGCTTTTTCCAAAAAATTAGTGTTTTTAACACAGCCATGGCACTCTGTTTTAAGAGAAAATATCAAAAGTTGACATAGGATATGTCATTCTACTCAGAGTGTCATTTTCTATCGAATAAAGTAGAAATATACCGAGAGTGCCATTTAAAAATGAAAAGTTGCAGTCATTTCCAGTGAAACAGGAAGTGAGCAAAAACAATTGAGTACGTCAATCAATCCTAATTTATGTCGTACACTAACATACCAAATCTCATTTTTTTATCTGAAAAAATAAAAAAGTTATAGGGGTGGGCCACTTTCGAGACACACCCGGTATATACTACCAAATTTTAAACCATCTTTTTAGTTGCTGCTTGAAGAATCTAACGTTTGTACGGATATCTATATCAAATGCAACATTTATGTATTTAAATGTTTTTTTATATTTTTTTTTCATAATTTTATTGACTACGATTTTCAAGTTATTGTATATGGAGACAGCTTCATAATGAACCATAAAATGATTAAGAGTCTTTTTTTATCTTTACTATTTAAGAAAAAAAACATAGACTGTTGGTTTTTACTTAATTATTTATCAATACTTTCATTTGTCATTGGTTTTCCAAAACTAATTTTGTAGTAATTTTTTTACACGTTTATATACTAATATAATCAGTTGTTTTCATTTTTAAAGTACCTTAAAAAACCGACTATTTCTAAGACGTATCATGCATTGAGACGTGGCTAGCGAATCATGGTTGTTATTGTAAAATTTGTGTGCCAATCAAAGACTTTCTGAAAGCAAAATTGGTACGACTATATAACTTTAAGGAGTAATGCACGAATTGTACTTTAGTTTTATTTCTTGTTATATAGTTTTTAAAAACGATATATATTTTGTTCGAAAGAGATAAATACCTAATTGTAATATCAAAAATTATAATCCCAAAATGATCAATTGTAAAATATAATTATAATTTTTGGTAAAAAAAATATTGTAAAATTTTTCTTTTTTTTTGACTGATGATATTTTATTCTAAACGCTTTACTTTACACAACATTATTTTTTTGTTAAAATAAAGTTTATTGTTGCAAAGCATTCAGTTAGTTTTCGTTTTCCTTTGTTAGAAATTTAAAATAATAATTTGTTTATATAAAACCTGAACATTCTGTAATTCCAGACGTGCAATATATTTGTTATTATTTTATTTTCACGTGAAATATAAAGCAAAAACTTTTACTGTAAAGAAAGATCCTCTTGATCGTGCTCACATCATGGTTAATATAAAATAAAACAAGAGAAAAAATAAACAAGTGTGATTTTACTACATAGATTTAGTACAAGACTGGTGAAAATTTTTATTAAAAAAATACTCTAATATTATGTAGAAAAAAAATGAAGTACAACTCTTGAATACAAATTTTGACCAGTCCGTTTTACTTGAAAAAAAAAACTAGTGTATATAAGATTTATTAAATGAAACATATTTTTTTTGTAAATATTGTCTGATCATTAAGTTATAGTTATTTAAGTTATGTAGTTTTTAATCTTTTTAGATTTTATGTTTTATTTGAAATGTACATAGAACAAAAAAAATATTAATAATAATACACTTATATTAATATCTAAGATATTTAAGATTAAGCATTTTGTTATAATTTTTGACTGGATACAGTGATGAGAAAAAATTTTAATATTTAAATAAATAAATAAATAAAGGTTGCTCTACAGAGTTAAACATTAATAAAGCCTGGTTGACACGGATGCTGTTTGTGTATCGGTCAAATTTGACATTTAAGTAAGGAATGGCTAAAAAACGGGTTTTTGAAAAAGTTATTTTTTAATGATAATATATACAGGGTGGCTCGAATTCGACGCTCATCATTGGGATTTCGGAAACCGTAAGAGATACAGGATCGGTTAAATGGAGACAAAGTTGTGCAATATGATGCTCAATAAAATGCCCTATTGCATTTTGAAAAATTCCGAATATATTCGAAAAAAAAACGGAATTTTCAATTTTGTTTTCAATTGTTTCGTGGCTTTATTTGTTAAGATAACTTAAAATAACAAACACATTTTCATGGCCACTTTTTCACTCTGTGTGATTAAATATTGACTCTGGCGTTTCGGCTTTTGGCGACCATCATCAACTTAATTTTTTTAAATACGGACCTGATTTTTTTCAATTTAATTAAATCCTTTCATCACTTTTAAACACTATACAGAGAAGACCAGGCTACTAGTAACATAGCAAGTTGCCGGACGAATTTACATTTACCCGTTTAGCGTTCGTACTCGATATTCACTGCCGGCTAGTCGGCTGGTCAGGCAGTACGCAGTTGCAGTTGTGCTTGGACGGGTCGGTCATGACAGACTAGGAATACGACTCGAGGAGTGCCGAGTATTTATTATTTTCATTTTAAGTGATTACCTTCACTTAAGGTAACATTTAAAATGAATATACTTAAATATTTATTATTTGAGTGTGTTTACAAGCCAAAACTAAAAATAAATAAGTTTTCTAAACCCAAAAAAAAACTAAAATATTACTCTAAATAAAAAAAGTTATAAAAAAGTGTTCAAAAAGACTATCTTCTTGTGCTAGACAGAAGCCTAGGCGGTCGTAAAATCCCTGTCTGACATTGGCTAACATATTAGGGCTAATAGTTTGGAAAGCCTCTCGTATTTTTACTTGAAGCTCATCCAGATTATTAGCCCTATTATGACCATACACTTTGGATTTTACATAACCCCACAAAAAGAAATCATTGGGAGAAAAAATCTGGTGATCTATCGGGCCACAAAAATAGTTCCATGTCCCACTAATTAAACGGTTGGGAAGAATATTGTTCAAATATTCTTAAGACAATACAGGCAATAATGGGCAGGGCAACCATCTTGTTGAAACCAGACATTGTGGAATCTTTCTCCCGGTAACTTACAGTTAAATTACCCTCTATAAAAAATGGACCAATCATATGCTCCCCTACAAAACCACCCCAAACATTTAGCTTTTGAGGATATTGCGTGCGTACCTCAAAATATTTGTGCAAATTTTCCCGAGACCAATATCGTACTTGTGTAGGGTTATGACGACTCAATAAATGAAAACTTGATTCGCCGGTGGAAACTATACGCCGAATAAAGTTTTCATCTAAATTGGCCTTTTCCATTACAAATTCACAGATTGGTC